GAGTTTTCGTGCCAAGTTTGGTCCAGATCCATCATTGCGTGAATCCACAGCACTCCTCTGGATATAGGTGAACTACAACTCCCAATCTCAAGGTCAATGCCCACCAAACCCAGTTTAGAGCTACTGTTACAGATCATCATGTTTACTGTTGGTCGTGGGAGCTCTGTGTGCCAAGTTTGGTTCGAATCCATTGCTGGTGGAGTTCAGAATGCTCTTTGATTATAAGTGAAGTATAAATCCCAGCAACTACAACTCCCAAATTACAAACTCAGTCCTCCCCCAACCCCACTATCATCCACATTTGGGTGTATTTGGTATGTTTGCCCAATTTGGTCCAGTGAATGAAAATACATCCTGCATATCGGATATTTACAACTTAATAACAGTAGTAAAATGACAGATATCAAGTATCAATGAAATCCATATTATGGTTGGGGGTCACCATAACATGAGTAATTATATTAAGGGGTCATGGCATTAGGAAGGTTGAGAACCACTGCATTAAGGGGTCGTGGTGTTAGGAAGGTGGAGAACCCCTGACCCAGAGAGAGGGAGTCAGCCTCGAAAGGCCAAAGAGTGAGAACTGGCCCACCCTGCCCCTCTTGGCTCCCCTTCTTCCCACGGCAATGGACGGAGACAGGAGAGAAGGTGCTTCCTCCAAACCCAGAAAGAGTGGCACTTTTGGAGGGCAAGGAGGCCTTTTGGCCACGGCTCTTACTGCTGTTTTGGGGCTTCCTCCTCTTCGTTTTGCAGCTTGTTGGGGGTTTCCGGGCCCACTTCCCCAAAACTGCTCTGAAATCCCCTTCCGCGTAAGAGAGAGCCTGGCTCTGCCACTTTGGGGGCCTTCCCTTTCACTTCTGCTTCCTTGCAGAGCACCCGCCTCACGCCGACACCCAGGAAAGGAAAGAGGAGACCCCAAAGGCATTCTGGGCTGCTTCCTCTTTCGCAGGGAAAGCAGTGCCGCATTCACATATCTGTGGAATAAGCTTCAGGGTGGGAGAAAGAACTCTTGTCTGTTGGAGAGAGGTGTAAACATATCCATTGGCCACCTTGATTTGCATTTAATAGCCTTGCAGATTCAAGGTCTGGCTGCTTCCTGCCAGGGGGAATCCTTTGTTGGGAGGTGATTAGCTGGCCCTGATTCTTTCTTGTCTGGAATTCCCCTGCTTTTGAGTGTTGTTCCTTATTTACTGACCTGATTTTAGAGCTTTTTAAAATACTGGGAGCCGAATTGTGTTCGTTTTCATGGTTTCCTCCTTTCTGTTGAAATTGTCCACATGCTTCTTGTGGATTTCAATGGCTTCTCTGGCTACCGGTATTTTAATGGCCTTGCAGTTTCAAGGCCTGGCTGCTTCCTGCCAGGGGGAATCCTTTGTTGGGAGGTGATTAGCTGGCCCTGATTTTTTCTTGTCTGGAGTTCCCTGGCTTTTAGAGTGTTGTTCCTTATTTACTGTCCTGATTTTAGAGCTTCTTTTCCTCTCTGATTCTCCTTCGGGGCGGCATGTAAATGCCATAAATAAATAAATTCTTTTAAATGCTGGTAGCCAGATTGTGTTCATTTTCATGGTTTCCTCCTTTCTATTGAAATTGTCCACATGCGCCTTGTGGATTTCAATGGCTTCCTTGGCTACCGGTATTAAAAAAGCCTCTAAAATCATAACAGTAAATAAAGAGCAAGAGTTCAAAGAGGCAGGACAATCCAAGACAAGAAACAACCAGGGCCAGCTAATCACCTCCCAACAAAAGATTCCCCTGGGCAGTAAGAAGCCAGACCTTGAAACTGCTAGGCCATTATAAAAATCGTGTCAGGAGTGACTTTGCTTCTGGTGTGAGAAAATTGGCCATCTGCAAGGACGTTGCCCGGATGTTTTGATGTTTTACCATCCTTGTGGGAGGGAGGCTTCTCTCATGTCCCTGCATGGGGAGCTGGAGCTGACATAAGGAGCTCATCCACGCTCTCCCCGGATTTGAACCTCCGCCGTTGGTCTTCAGTTCTGCCAGCACAGGGGTTTAACCCACTGCACCATCGGGAACTCCTAAATTGATTTAGTTGATTAAATGCTAATCAAGGCAATTAATAGCAACATTCACATTTGCCTTGAGAGTTCTTTCTCCCGCCCTGGACACCATTCCATAAGGATATAAACCCAATTTTCCTAGTTTCCAACAGATCTCCCAAGCTCTGAGGATGCCTGCCATAGATGCAGGTGAAACATCAGGAGAGAGTGCTTCTGGAACATGGCCAGGCAGCCTGGAACACCCATAGCAACCCAGTGATTCTGGCTATGAAAGCCTTCGACAACACATCAAATCTAAACTTCTTTATTGGTTTTGGTCCGAGGCAGGGCTGCGGGCATTGCCGTGCCGTCCTTGCCGTGCCTGCTTTTGGTCCCGAATCGAGTGAGGAGGGGTCCCTGGGTGGGTTCGGTCCTTTGAGCTGAGGAAGTGCTGGTGAAAAGAAGGAAGGAAGGGAGGAAGAGAGGAAGGAAGTGTGGCCGAGGCTGCCCTTAAGCGGCCATGGAGGCGGGCGTCCGGTACTTCTCAATGACCTCTCGCAGCCCTTTGGAGAAATGGAGGTCGGCGCCGATGGTGAGGTAGCCCTGCAAGAGGAGGAGGAGGAGGAGGAGAGGGTCAGGGAGGCGGACGGAGCCCCTTTGTACCCACATTTGCACCCCCAAAAGACCCCACACGTGACCCCCTCCCTCACCATGTGGTTGGTGACCACTTCCTTCATGAAGTCCATCCCTTCCGGAAGCGGGATCTGGACGCCCTTCTTGGTTTTCTCTGCAAGGAAAGCAACGGAGGAGAGCAGAGTCAGGGCTGCGAAGGGGATCCTGGGACATGGGATGGAGCCACACAACTGGCACGTGGAGAAAACGTGGAGACGGTGACAGGGTTTGTATTTCTAGGCACAAAGATGAGCGTGGCCAGGAAATCAGGAGATGTTTCCTTCTTGGAAGGAGAGCAAGGACCCATCTCCATAACATAGTGAAGAGTAGATGCATCACACTGGCAACCAAGGTCCACATAGTTGTCGTTTATTCATTCAGTCGTTTCCAACTCTGTGTCTTCCTGGACCAGACCAGACCAGAGCTCCCTGTCAGCCGTGGCTGCCCCCAGATCCCTCAAGGTCAAGCTAGTCACTTCCCTGTAGTAACCTATGGATGTGAGAGCTGGACCACAAGGAAGGCTGAGCAAAGGAAGAGAGATGCTTCTGAACTGTGGTGTTGGAGGAAAGTTCTGAGAGTGCCTTGGACTGCCAGAAGATCCAACCAGCCCATTCTCCAGGAAATAAAGCCCGGCTGCTCATTGGAGGGAAGGATAGTAGAGGTCAAGATGAAGTCCTTTGGCCACATCATGAGGAGACAGGAGGCCTTGCAGAAGACAATGATGCTGGGGAAAATGGAAGGAAAAAGGAAGAGGGGC